GTCAGTTGGCCAGGTAGCTGTCTTCCAAATATCTTGGCATAGGTGAGTGAGCACCTCCAGTGCTGCATCTGTTTGTTGAAACATCTCAGTTGGTATTCCGTCAATTCCTGGAGCCTTGTTCACCAATGCCTTCAGTGCAGCTTGGACTTCTTCCTTCAGTACCACTGGTTCTTGATCATATGCTACCTCCTAAATGGTTGAAGGTTGACCAGTTCTTTTTGGTACAGTGACTCTGTGCTAGGTACTGGGAAACAGAATAACAACCCTGTCCTTGTCCCTAAGGTGCCTACAGTCTAGTAAATGAAGTAGACACGTAAACAGATAAATTTCAGTCCTGTACATTGTGAAATAGTAGACTCATATGTAAGGTCTAATGGTAGCATACAGAACAAGTTGAACAACATTATTTAGGTACATTAAGGTCAGGGAAGATTCAGAGAAGGTGATGCTGAGCTGAGATTTTGAAGGATGAATGAATTTTCCATCGGACCAAAGCCGGGAGTGGATTGGATTGGGAGTACTGGGTAGCGGGGAGGCCTTCCAGCATGTGGGAAAGCATGGGGTTAGAAATGTGCATGCAGGAGATTCCAAGCAGTTTATAGTTGCTGGAGAATAATGAGTTGGTGGAAGCTGTCAGGAGATAGAGCTAGATCACAAGGGCCTTGAATGCAATGCTAAAAGGTTGATGGGGAGCCATGGAAGGATTTTAATCAGAGGAGGAACTTCATTAGATGTGTATCTTTGAAAGCAACATCTCAGAGCCCTGAGATCTGTTGGCTATATTTAACTTCATCCCTTATTCCAAAGTCTCCAACTGGGTGCTGTATTTGGCACCCCTTTGTGTGATAGATTCCTGGATCCTATCAGCCTAAATTGTGGATGACATATAAAGGGAGAGAATCAGAATGTATTTTATGTTCATCTCACACAGCCTGATCCTGTCAGGGTTCTCTTCCCAGTGCCATGAATGAGGTACCGTCATTGTACCCCTTATCTCAGTGACAGAAGTGCTCATTCTGCTCCCTCATAATTAGGTGATTTTGTTGAGTGAGAATTTTGGAAACTCAGAAGGACAGCCCTTCTACTGGGTGGAGCATATTATTTTGTCTTGTACTAACACACCTATTTCCTTTGTTTCCTTAGCAGAGAGGGTGTGTATGAAATCAGCCTGTCACCCACAGGTGTATCTAGGTGAGTGAATCCTTGCTAGAAAGTGACTAGACTTTTTTCATTAGCTTACAGTCTCTTAAAAGATTTTACTCCCTCACTTGAAATAGGTAATTTCTGCCCCTTAAATTCTTGGGGAGCAGGAATTTGGTAGTGACTCCTTTTTATATTGCACTTTAGCTTTAGAACTTTTTCACATTCTCTCTGTCAGATATAGTAACTATTACTTCCCCAGTTTTTCAGATGAGTAATTGAGGACTAAGGAGATTGAGTACTTTTTTTCCAGGGCCAAATAGTAACTTAATGTTAGAGTTGGATCTAGCCTTGACTTCGACACTGTGGGACTTTTTGCTACATTCGGGTGAATTTCAAGAAAATCAAGGAATATACTATTTAAGGTGTATTAAGTATTAGTCATTGTTTTAAAAACATTTTGAAAGCATTGCCTTAATGTTTGAATATACTAATTGTCACTATAAAATTGAGACATTTAAAACTAGCATATCAGAACTTACATATCTAAATGAATTAGCCTACTTCCAATTCAGCTAGACTTGGAAGGCTCTATCATTGGTCCAGTGGCGCTTCTGTTCTTCATAATCCTTCTTGGAACCTCCCCTTTAAAGCAAGTTTAACAGTCACTCAGGAAAAGCACTTGTGTTATTTTGGTCACATCTCATTGTTCATCAGGTATGAGCTTCAGATGGCTCTTTCAGAAAATCAAATGCACCTTCAAAGAGTGAAGATTAGCTACCATCAAGGCTATTCAAGAGAATGTTCCATGGGCTTTCAGAATACTTCTTAAGGCGATCCAGAAATATTTTTAGCTGATTTGGCATTGTTGAAATTAGCATATTTTAAGTGACAGAAAGATCCCTCGTTTGGATATGTTTATTTTGATATAGTCATATAATAATCTCTAGCTTTCCCTAGAATTGGCATGGTCTCAGAAGACTGCCTGTTGTCAAAATAACATGGGGTCAGGTATTTTATTAGTTATTTAATTTACTTCTCACAGTGACCTGATGAGGTGGATACTATCTTCATGTTACAGATGAGAAAACTGAGGCTTAGAGAGGTTAAGTAACTTGCTTAAGGCTCCACAGCCAAACAGTGCTGGAGCAGTATTTAAACCATGATCTGTCTGATTAGCTTTAAAAAAAAAAAAAAAAAAGCCTTCATGCGTCCTTTTATCCTCCATTACCTCTCTTATTTGTCTTGACATGAGGAACTTATTTTTAAGCAGCATCATAACCTGGGCAATAGATATTAGGCTCTGCTTTGCTTGCCATGGGAAGTGTGGTAAGATGATTTCATCTATCCATTAAAGGAAGCATCCAAATTAATTTATTCCTCTAACAATTAGAGTCTAACCCATCTTTTCCATGTTCTTTAGTTAATAATGGTTCTTTCTGCATCAAGGGTGTGTTTGTATCCTGGCTTTGTTGACTTAAAAGAAGCAGACTGGATATTGGAACAGCTTTGTCAGGATGTTCCCTGGAAACAGAGGACTGGCATCAGAGAGGGTAAGTGCGTTTCTGAGGTTGTAGTTGTCGCTGCCTGGCCTCCCTCACCAAAAGGTTTTCTAATGCCATTGCCTCTTCTCACCACCACCGGTCTTAAACAGAGGTTTAAAACCTAACTGAGACCCTAAGGATGAGTAGGAATTAGCCAAAGGGAACAAGGAAGAAACAGCAGGTGGAAGGCCCAGAGATCAGAGAGAACATGGAAGGAGTAAGGGGACGGATGTGGCAGTTGAAGGAACCAAAGGAAGTTTGGTTTGGCTGAACTGTGGTTGACATTGATCTCCCTTTGTCTTTGAAACACTGCCTTTACTACTTCAAATGGTGTCAACTTTCCTCTTTCTTCATAGAAACTTCTAAAGCTTTCTTTTTTCTCATCCTGTTTGGCATACTTTCTTTTGCTATCCTTCTTACGACATTTTATTCTCATTTCACTTTTACCAGAGCAGTTTAGTCTGCTTTAGTTTCAGCATCTGCACTCTCCTGAGCTCGTAAAGATGTCACCCATTAAACCTGTGGCCATTGAGTTGATTCCAACTCGTAGCGACCCTATAGGACAGGGTAGAACTGCCCCATAGGGTTTCCAGGAAGCAGCTGGTAGATTCAAACTGCCAACCTTTTTGGTTAGCGGTTGCGCTCTTAACCACTGCACCACCAGGGCTCCAAGGATGACACAGCATAGTTTATTAACTGATTTTGGCACTTACTCCTCTGTGTGTATCCACAAGCATCAGTACCTGTTATACCGGAGATGGTCACTGGGGGGCATATGTACTCTAGCATAGCATTTTCCTTCTGGCACAAGTGAATTTAAATTTTCCATAAAGAGGCAAAGTATACACAGGCGTCATTTTTGTGACTCAGATATCAGAATAGGAGACAGCTTTTTCAGGGCAGCCTTTTTCAAAGTGTTACCACAGTAGGACTTTTGGTGACAGACTTGGCTTTGATTATTGGCTCTGTCATTCAAAATAATTGTTAATTTTAAGCAAATTCCAGTTAAGTAACTGTCTGAGCCTTGGTTTTCTTCTCTGTATAATGGAACTAATAATAAGATCAGTGTAAGATTGTTGTGATAATTAAATGAGATAATGCATGGTAAGCTCTTAGTAGAATACCTGTTGTGTGATAATCCTTCAGTGCATGTTAGCTGCTTTTGTTGTTATTGCTGTTGTGGGTGATACCGTTGTGGGAAAAATAACAGACCTGTGGATAACTCCCTCTCTAAATAAATTTGGGTCTCAAAAATTTCTGACTAAAATCAACTATGTGCTATAGTTGGACAGAGCACTTTTTTCTTCATTTGAAATTAAAAGGGCTTATACAACATTGGACACATGGATGAACAGTTTGTCTTGTGTCTAGATACAGACTTTGGTGCCACAAATTCCTGCCCGTAAGGGTTAGACACCCAATATCCTGCATTTTGAAACCTTCCCTGATCCGAGCCCTGCTGTGCCCCAGTGTGACTCCTTGGCTCTTATTTATGTCATCACTGACGTAAATAAGCCCCACACATTCTCATCTCGGTCTCAGCCAATGCGCTTCCTGCCAAAGTGCCTTCTCTAGTCTTCTCTTCCTTTTGGCTCTTACTTCTTCTACTCCTCAAACCCCAAGTTTTTTTTGAAGTTAGAACCTTCGGTCAGAGCCCACCCTTACTCTTCGTTTGTATTTCCAGTAGCTTCTTGCATGTTGCAAGGCACAAAGTTGGGACGCAGTAGGTACACCTTAAATAGCACTAAATCGTTTCAAAGGCCCTATATTTTCTTTCTTAGATATAACTTATCAGCAACCAAGACTTACCGCATGGTATGGAGAACTTCCTTACACTTATTCAAGAGTCACTATGGAACCAAATCCTCACGTATGTTGGAATATTCTCATTGGTATGGTTTTATAAACTATATACTATAAACGTAGAATACTATAAACATAACAGTAAGTTACCTTGCAGAGGTGCATGACGGTTCCTAGTTCAAAAATCCTCTGGAGTCAAACACTGAGTCTTTGTGCTTGTTACCCTTTATGTGCTTTTGATCTATAGATGAACTCAGAGTTAACTGGAACCAGAGTCCAGGATTTTGGGAAAACGAAACATTTCTTTTCGTAATCTTCCCCTTCCCCAAGCTTTTCTGGCTGTAGCCCATCTGTGTACTCCCTGGTATACATTTGTTTTGGGGCCAAAGTGCTGTGTCTCGTCGATGAGGTCAGAATGTCTCTGTTTCCTCCTTAGGCCCTTTTGCCACTTGTTTAAAAAAAAACTGGTTTTTTTTTTACTTTGTATTCATTCTGTGGCTGCAGCTCTTAGACTTCCAACTTAACCGTTGCTTTGGCTTGTTTCTACTGCTTCTTTTGTTTTTAAAATTTTCCAAGACACTAGACCGAGATATTCTAGTGTATAAATTAAGCTTGTCCAGAGAATGGAGTCAGGGGCCAAGAAATAGCTCCCTGTTTAGTCCCTGGAATCTTGCCTTTGGCAAAGAACGTTAAGCTTTATTGAAAGAAAAGTTGAAGAAAATGGGGCTTTGCTTATGGCATTGGGATAAACAGAAATGTGACACATTTTAGAGCTTCCAGTAACTTGTAATCACAAACTACCACTTTACTAAGATGTCCATGGATAAAACACTGGCTAGGGGTACAGTGGCTTTTCATGCAAGGAGACGTCTACTGGCTTTGGTTTCTAGGGCTGCATTTAGAATGTGACCCAGGGAAGTATTGAGACCCTTTATAGCTAAGGTTGATTTGAAAATAGAGTTGAATTAGGTCAGTCCAATGTAGACTGCTGCCTGTGTTTTTGTCAAAATTAATTTACCTTCTTGTCCACAGTCATAGTTGAGGATTAAATAGGCTCTGGAGAAGAAGTTCTTCCTCATTCATTCTTGTTAATCTTTTAGAACAGGGTATTTCAACCTTTGTACAATTGACATTTTAGGCCTAATAATTCTGTGTTATGGAGTACTGTTCTATGCATTGTAGGATGTTGAGCAGTATCCCTACCTCTACCCACTAGATGCCAGTAGTGTCCCCCACTTGAATGTGACAACACAAAATGTTTCCAGACATTGGCAAACATCCACTGGGGGGCAAAATCACCCCTAGTTGAGAACCACTGTTGTAGAAGAAACATAAGGCACACAGGGTCTGCTGAGTAGAATAGCCTTAATGGGGACATTGTGACATCTCTTCAAAAGAATTTAATGACAATCTTGTTTTATAATGTAAGTAATAAGTGTTTATTTTCAAAAGTTTAGAAACTGCAGATAAGTACAAAGTTGTTATGTGCTGTTGAGTCGATTCTGACTCATAGCGACCCTGTATCACAGAGCAGAACTGCCCCATTGGGTTTCCTAGGCTGTAATCTTCATGGAAGCAGATTGCCAAGTCTTTTCTCCTGTGGAGCCACTGGTGGGTTCAAATGCCAGCCTTTCGGTTAGCAGCCAAGCGCTTAACCATCGCCCCACCAGAGCTTCATAAGAAGAATATTAAAATACATGATAATTCTGCCACTTGATGTTTTTGTTCCAAAACCTTCTTTCTTTTAGGTAAACATATGTAGAGAATTTTTTCCTATAAAAATAAAATAATTACGTATACTATGTTTCATATATGAGACTTCGTCTTATGTATTGTGGACATGTTATTAGGATGGACCAGTCCCTGGAGAAGGACATCATGCTTGGTAAAGCAGAGGATCAGCGAAAAGGAGGTAGAATCTCAATGAGATGGATTGACACAGTGGGTGCAGCAATGGGCTGAGACATAGCCACAATTATGAGGATGGTGCAGGACTGGACAGTATTGTGTTCTGTTGTACATAGGGCCGCTATGAGTCAGAGTCAACGCAACAGCACATAACAACAACAACATGTTTCATGTACCGTATTTTTGCATAAATAACGTGTTCCTTCTACATTTGTTTGCCAACTGCACCCTCTCCCCCACGAGGTATTTTTGTAAGCCTGCTGTGCTAATTTTTTTTTTACAGCAACATGTAAAAAAAAATTGGTGTAGCAGTGCTTATGAAAATACCTTGCAGGCAGGAGGGCATGATTGGCAAACAAAACACAGAAGACATGCATTATTTGTACAAAAATACAGTAAGTGTGTATCATTAACATGTTTTAGTATCATTAAATATTCTTCTACAATGTAATATTTAATGGCTGCATAGTATCCCATAAATTGTGTATACCATAATTTATTCAGATAAGCCCCTTTGTTGGCTATTAAGGTCTCAAATTAGAACTCTTTATTTTGGATTTGGTTGGTTCATAACTTTGTATTTATTGCTAATAGACTTTATTTATATATAACCTTGAGAAAAATCAAAAGAGATGCCCCTTTCTCAGCATTTTTTAAAGGAAGATTTACTAATGTATGTATATGTGTGTTGAGGGCACTTGTTTAATTTTAAAATTGAAGTATTACCTCAAGCTTAATCATAGGTTTTTAAACTCCTTTTAGTGTTTGTTCAAATTAAGTCTTACCTGAACCCTATCTATAAAACAGATAAAAGCAGGGGTAGACTGGGAGTCCCACCAACTTGACCGCTTTTTCCTACCATAGTCCCAGAGACACCTCCGTGATAACCTAGCATTCTAGCAAACAGTGTTTGAAATCCACTGAATAGGTCCTTTTACTTCTGTGATTCGTATTTTCTCATACTTTTTTTCCTCAAGTGTCTTTTAAGGATAGAATGTCTTCACTGAACAGTGAGATGACACTGAATTTTAATTTAGGCATTCAGTTCTGAGGGATCTGCATAGAGTATTGGGTTGGAGAGTCTAAATTAAGTTCCCTAGTTCATTATTCCCTTTTTTCTCCTTTTCTCTCTTTTTTCACCACCAAAAATAACCAAGGGAAAAATACATACCCACTTAGAAACATCATGCAGACATGGTGTTATCGCATGCAGTGCCCGGTACCTAAGCAAGTCAGGGGATTGCTAATTAGTTTCTCAGCACATTGCAGAAAAGCTATTTTCCTCCTTTACATTCTTGTTTTTCTTGTTGACCGTATAATTCTAGTATCTGATCTTTATCTCTATGGAGTTAAGTTTAAAGCCATAAAATAAATAGGAAATACAGCTGCCTAACATTATTATTAGAATTTCTCTTGGAATGTATTCTCTTAAACGTAGGAAAAGCACCTGTATGATTTCTGAGTTGTGAGCTGAACGGGCTCCTTTTTTCATGGACCATTTTTGCTTGAAACAACAACTGAAAGACAAACTGTGGTTATTTAGACTTGAGTATTTGGCAGACATTTTCTGATAAATGAAGTGAGTTTCATTTTAAGGAAAACAGTGGACAGAATTTGCTACTAATGATAAAATTTTGAGTTTTCAAGCAAAAACTAGAATGTTGGAAAACCTGTATTCTCCATTTTGAGTCTTACTTAGACTTTCCTGATGAGATTAGCGGTAATATTAATGAATGTGATTTGTTTGCTATTGTACGTTGAAATGTGTCAACGTTTAGAAGATCTGCATAACTCAGTGAACCAGTGCTTTCCAGATGACCAGTGTTCAATGTTACAAAATCACAGAATGTTAAAAGATCCATTCAAAGTGCAAGCTAGACCAGTGGATTTAAACATAACAGAATATGAAAAGTTTATTGATAGGATTTCAGTTTCCACATTGCAGCTAACCATTAAGAAACTAGCATTTGTTGAGTTTTGGTGTAATATCAAAGTACAATATCTACAATTATTTGAAAAGGCTATAAAATACTCTTTCCTTTTCAACTACGTATCTATATGAAGCCAGTTTTCTTCATATACTTCAACCAAAACAATATATTGTAACAGATTGAGTGCAGAAGGAGATAGGAGAATCAGTTCTGTTAAGGCAGACTTTAAAGAGATATGCAAAACAGTGCCACTCTTCTTACCAAATTTTTGTATTGCAAAATATAGTTATTTTTCATAAAAAGAAATTTATGTTAACATGCAGTGGGTTTATTATTGTTTTTTAATGAATACAATAGTTTAATTTTCTTCTGTTTTAATTTTAAACATGGCAGGTATCAACAGCTATAGAACCCATATAAACAAAAGTTCTTTGGGGTCCTCAGTAACTTTTAATAGCATAAAGTTTGAGAACCGTTGTCCTAAAGGAAGCTCTTTACTGTAAAGTACTTGAGATTTCTGAGAGAGAAGACACAGAATTTTGTCAAGAATCTGTTCAAGCTGTGCTGATTGTACCTACAAGGTACACCCTAAGGTCAAAGGTCATAGCTTCCTGTAGTATACATGGCAAGACAGTGATTTTCTACAAGTTCCAAATATTAACTACATTAAGTGAACTCATTGCCCAGTAGAAAAGGTAGTGAAATCAGTTTAAATATTCTATAGCTCACAGCTTATATGCTTATTAAGGGCATGTCATGATTACCGTTCTGTAGAAAAGAATTGTTTTCCCCTTTAGGTTCTGTTTTTAGGAAGTTAACCGTTCTGGAAATATTAAATATCTTTTTTACAAAGCAATTCTGCCATTCATGATAAACTAGGAATAGAATGCACAGAGGGCGACCCAGCAGGAAAGTTGTTTTGCTCTTCAGACTTCAGTCTGTCTCTGCTGTCTACCTGGTAGCACGTCAGCTGTGGTAGCACACCAGACTTGGTGTGCCACTTCCTGCCTTAAGGACTTACCAAGGTGCCTGCCCTGAATAGGTTGACATTTGCTTCTTTGCCAGGGTCATATAGTTAACATGGAAAGGATGAGATGGGTGCATAGGCCCTGCTCCTCTTGGCACCGCTGTACCAAATTTAGTACCTTTATAAAATTGCAGAGGTCACTTTCTTCAAAAAAGAAATAATGGGAAGGGATTAAACTACTTTTCTGCCTTCTGTTAATTGCATTCCAAGTGTTTCGCTTACTGTATGTCCCTATTTATAACTCGACTGAGTTTGCTCTGTTTCTGTTTTTCCGCGTGGCTGTCACTTTGTGTGACTATCTACCCCTTTTCTTGGCCGGTTGGTTGCAGTGGCACCCTGTGCTGAGCACGCTGAAGAACCACATCGAGGAGAACACTGGCCACACCTTCAACTCCTTACTCTGCAATCTTTATCGAAATGAGAAGGACAGTGTGGACTGGCACAGTGATGATGAACCTTCCCTAGGGAGGTGCCCCATCATTGCTTCACTCAGCTTTGGTGCCACACGCACTTTTGAGATGAGGAAGAAACCCCCACCAGTGAGTATTCTCTTTTTTAATGCTCTTCCTGCCTCCTGTGATTTCTGCATAAAAGGTAGAGTTCCTCAAGGTTTCTGTTTTCAGATTTAGAAGACAGTAGTGTGTGTTTTGTTGATGAAACATTCTCATTTGGTTGCTCACCCCATGGTTGACTTTTGACACCCAAAGTGCCCATTCATTCATGTATTCATCCAACAGGAATTGGCAGCTTTGTGTCAGGTGCTGGGGGCTCGTTGCCAAGTAGTGTGGATACATTGGTAGGAAGGATAGACAGCCCCTGTCTTCATGAAGATATAGTCTAGTAGGGCAGATAGGTGTTAGTAACCACTCAAACAATTGCAGTTGTGAAAAATGCTATAAGGAGGGTTTTTAAAGGAATGGCCCAAGCTGGTGGAGGCAAGAAGGGAAAGGAAAGGAAAAGATGCCCCTGAGGAAGGCTTTATTTTAAGTAAGTGTTCTTCATGGTAATGCTGCTACATGCATCCTCATTGCCCTCTCAGCAATGAAGTATGAAGCTCTAGCTCTTTCTTAGAGAGGAACTCAAGCGAGGTTATCAGAGGTGATGTTCTAAGTTTAGGTAGAAAATCAGTGACTAAACTGACTATATAATAACTTCAGTTTTCCACCCTAGCTCTTACTAGATTTTATGATATAGGAAGGTTACTAGGGCTAATCATTTTTTTTTTAATCAAAAAGGGATTAAGATATGTAATCAATGTCAATGAATTGTACATGTAAAAACTGTTCAATTGTGAATTTTATTTTCATTTTTAGTGTTTATTCTTTGTGTAATTTTTTTTTTTTATTGTGCTTTAGGTGGAAGTTTATGGAACAAATTAGTATCTCATTAAACAGTTAATACACAAATTGTTTTGTGACTTGGTTGCCAATCCCGCAAGGTGTCAACACTCTCCCCTTCTCTGCCCCGGGTTCCCTGTTTCCATTCATTCAGTGTTCCTGTCCCTTCCTTCCTTCTCGTCTTTGCTTTTGGTGTGGTGTGCCCATTAGTCTAGTATACACGATTGAACTATGAAGCACGTTCCTCACGTGTGTTATTGTTGGCCCTGTAGACCTGTCTAATCTTTGACTGAAGGGTGAACCTCGGGAGTGACTTCAGTACTGAGTTAAAAGGGTGTCCGGGGGCCATACTCTTGGGGTTTCCTCCAGGCTCTGTCAGTCCAGCAAGTCTGGTCTTTTTGAATTGGTGACTGTTTTGTTGTATATTTTTGTACCACAATTTTTTTAAAAAATGGGAGGGTGGGGGGAAGGACTAAGATAGGAAGATAGTAGGAACTCCAAGAGAAGAAAAAAATCTCTCCCAGATTATCTTGTTTCCAGGGTTTGTGTCTTTTCCTAACAAGATTCCCTATCATTCAGCTTGTAACGTTAAACCAGAACCAGTTGCTGTGGAAGGTCTAAAGTCTGTTTATTGACTATGACCTAATCCAGACCACATACTTATTAGTCAGTCAGTGCTCTTGTCTGTTCTTCATCAGATAACCTCTCTGAGAATAAAGCCAATGCTGGGCTGTTTTCTTGACATGTTTCCTGGGTTTCCAAACATGGTATTTTGAAGCATATTGAGTTATTTTGCATATATGCAATTAAGTACCTTTTGTTGGTACAATTTCTTTTGATTGGGTTTTCTTTGCCTTTGTTTAGATAGAAATTTGAGGTATATTAGCAGAGAATTGTCAGTTGCCGGTAACTTATTGAGTGAACTTACTCCTTGAGCCTTTTGAGAAGCCTTCACAGTTTTCATTGGCAGTCAGCTTTGTTTGTGCCAAGGAGTACTACTTGAGAATCAAACTATCCAAACTTTACCATATTCTCTTTAGGTATGGTTATGCTTCTGTACACAGGCTTCCACTCAGTTAAATCCAGAGGTCACACATGCGAAGAATTCATCTAGCCTTCAGTAAGACTCTTGTTACGTGAAAACCAGAGAAACAGCATATATTTCACTTTTAGGTTCAGACCCTCTCCTCAAGCCAGACATATAGAATATCAATTCCATTCCAGGTATGGCCCTGGGAGCTGGGGCCATAGCCATGAATGAGGAAGATCAAGTCATCTTTCTCCACCTGGAGCTCATGACATAGCACATGCAGTGCTGGGCCTTCCTCCTGGAGGTATTTGTCCCTTCTCCCAGTTGCAAACAAGCCATAGTATATCCAGTATCATCTTTGGTATAGTCTTGGTTCTTAGGTCTTCGCAGTTATTTTCTTTGTTGCTGAGGATTCAGGTATTCAGCTGCAATTTCTTTACACACACACATTCACCACTACCACCCTGTTTTAAAATTTGGGGCTTATTTATGGATTTGGAGCTTAAGAACTCCAAAAGTATGCTTCTCTGGATTATTAGTTTTACTGTATAAATAGTTTCCAGCTATTAAGCATTAGCAATATTCTGCTGCCCGGAAATGCCCTGTTCCTTCTCCCCTCTAGGCAGCTGAAGCTTTTCCTTTTCTATATAAAAAATTATACAGTTGATTCTTGTTACTTTCTGTAATTATGTTCTGTAAAGTTCCCATGAATGGTGAATTAGTGAATACCAAGCCAACCTTGTGCATCAGGCAAGTCAAATTTTTCGCCACTCAGCACATGCCCCTGAGTGACCGAGAGAGCGTTGCGAGTATTGATTTTGGGGTTATAAATACATTTTAGCAAGTAGGCACATTTGTAGATGCAGAGTCCACAAGTAATGAGGATTGACTTCATGGTAATCAAGAGCTATTTCTTGGTGATAGACTTCGTCTGTGTGATAGCTTAATGTGTGGGCTGAGAACGTAACTACCGCGTACACACTTTCTGAGGGAAACTGGAACAAAATCCGTGTTTAAGAAGGAGGCTGCCTCTACTGAAGCTTTATCTTCTCCTCAGGGCTTCTTGGAGTCTATTTTAATGAACACAAGTGAAGCACAGGCCATGAAATGCTAATTTCAAAATGTGGTAAAATCCCTTTAATTATCTGCCGGTAGCAAGGGAATCTTCACTGTAACCATGGTAGCTGATTTGATGAAAATACACATCTAATGAGTAAGAAAATTTGAACTCTTGAAACAAAGTTGGCTGTGGACGGACTTGGGAGGAAATACAAACATGTCAGTACCTCAAGTTATTAATTCTAATAAGTTAGGGTTCCCTGCTTAGTCTTAACTGTGATTGAGTTTGATGTAATTTTTTGCATCTCTTTTCAATTCTGGCTTTTGTTTAAGATGAAGAAGTTGAATGTTAAGATATTCGAAATTAAAATCATGCTATTAGCGAATATAGCTTTAAAATGACCTTTTTTTAAAGAACCTATACATTTTATTCTTTAGTAAACCGCACCCAAGTTTAAACTTTTGGCAAGACTCCTTCAGGTGTCATTAACACATTCCAAAAATCTGGGGCTCCACAAACCTAGCCAAACTAGAAGTGCAGAAGGCTTTCTTTGAGTTGACAGCCTTGGAAATAATTTTAGAGTACATCATCTTTATCTCATTATAATGATCCCTTTCTGAAGGGTTGAAAAGAAATGGTTATTGCAGATTTGTGTCTACTTTTCTTTTTAAACTAAGGTGATAACTCTGAGAACATGACTCACAATTCGTACAACCCGAAGTAAAAGCATAAATTAAAAAGTATAAATTAGGTTAGTATTCTGTTTGGGTTTGGAGCAGTCTGACTTGATATAACTCTTGTGGACCTATTTCAGTAGACCACTATCCATTATAGAATGCCAACAGGACGTTCGGGATGCCCTAGAGGTTATGGTAGGGAATCTTCTTCAAACTCCAATTCATGATAACCTATCAGATAAGAAGCTAATTCCTTTTTGACCTGAGTCATAATTTCTCATCTGGAACTGACATAGAGGAGTCATGAGATTTCCTGCACTTCATTCAAGTGTGCAGTTTTGAGACAGAAACACTTCTGTTTTGGGCCACTTTCAAAGAGAAATAGTCTTGATTTTTTAAAAATTCAACTCCTCCTCCACCCCTGCAAGCAGCTGTTGGTTTTGCAGTCTGGCACCTTGAGCAGATCTCTGTAGCAGCTGATCTTCTGAAAGCTGCCCCAGTTCCACACTTTGCATTCCTAACAATTTCTCACTGTGCCGAGATGGAAAGGAGATCTTTGTCTCTGAGTACCAGTGCCCCTTCTGATTCACACAGTTGGCTCACTCAGCTTCGTGCATGCATCATCCCTGGAATTAAACAATCCACTCCTCCAAGGAGCCTATCTTTTTGTCACTAGTCCAAGTCTGCCAGCTCCTGCTCACTCATTTTGATTTTAGAGCAAATTACTACTTCCTTTAATCAAAGTTCCAGATCCCTGGTGGTGCAGTGGTTTAAGAGTTTGGCTGCTAACTAAAAGGTCGGCAGTTCGAATCCACTAGCAATTCCTTGGAAACCCTATGGGACAGTTCTACTCTGTCCTGTAGGGTCACTATAAGTCAGAATCGACTGGACAGCAAGGGGTTTTTGGGTTTTTTAATCAAAGGAAAGTACTTGGGGCACAGTAGACTTGCCTGATCTTACTCTTCCGTTCACCCTGATCCCTTTTGTTTCATTCACATTAAAGACTGAGTGAACAGCACCATATATGTCTTCTGGACAATGTCAGGGTTAACTGTCTTAAGACCAAAGTGAAGCTTACCAAGGATACTTCAGTAGACCTTTTTTTAGAAACCAAGAACCTTTTTTATCCTATCAGGTTGGGCTCATTAAAGCTTTTTTACACTCGTCATCCCAAACCCAGCTGTACTTTTCAAACTGCATCGTGTCCCTGTTGTAAAGATTAGTCTGGTTCTTTTCCCAGCTAGCTTTAATTCTATACTGAAGAACAAGCTGGAAAAGGAACCACAAAAGCCATTTGGCAGGCTGCTATTTCTCTGTCGGTAACCATGGAAACAATGATGGCTGGGGGTGGTTATTAGATAATAGCAGGAAGTTTGTGATGCACTGGAAATTTAGATGCCAAAAGCCTTGTTTTTCTAGCAAAAAAAAATACCCTCTTGATACACTATGTCCTTTATCAACTGAATGCTGCAAATGTGAGGGGCTTCTGTTCATCTCAGGGTGATTGAGCTGAGACAAGTTGGGCATTTGTCTAACCACTCCCCTCTCTAGCATCTTCTCAAAGATATGAATCTTGTTCATATCACCAGAAGAGACAGTTATAAAACCAAGACGAGCGGTAGAGACTCTGAGAGCTGCTCCTGAACTGGAGTTCACTCCGCCTCCCTTGCTAATTGTTTTTTCACTCACTACTGGGGAAAATGGAACATAAAAATCAGTCTGATCTCAGACTGATAAATATTGCTATTTTTTCCAGGACTTTAGAAATTGGGATATTGGAATCCAAAATAACGTGGCACTGAAGAGCTTAAATGAGGAAACTGGATAAAACTAGAACTGTGTGGCATTTCATGGCGTAGTGAGTGAACCTCCCCCTTATCCAGCAGGCCCACTGCTGCTCTTCCCATCTTCCAGGCCCCTTACTAATCTGTCTTGTAATTACAGCATCTGTTCTGAGAAGTTCTAAGAACTATCTAAAACAAATTGTTTATAATCATGGTCTGTTTTAAAAACACCCTAATGAAATACAGAAAATCAGGTTTTATCTCCTGTTTCTGTCCCTGATGTTGGTAAAAAGCACTCATCCGCCTCATTGATACTTCCTCCTTTTTTGTAAATGGGGATAATAATTGGTGGCTATTTCATGAGCATAACAGAAGTTTTCCTATGAAAGACCCTGTGACAGTTGTTGCTGGTATCAGTGAATTTTTAAGCTGTTATAAGTGGTAGATGCCATGGTGACTTTTCAGATGTAGAAACTGGAAAAGGAAATGAATAGCAGTGAAGCTAAACTCCAAGGTTCTATGGCCTGTGAACTAGCGTTCATTGAGGGAGTGCAGAGGAGCCTTGGGGAGGGTGAGGTGACCTATGGATCGGAAATGGTGATTGAGTTTTGGAGCTTCTACCTCTAGGTTCATTTAATGGTTTGGAGAATGTGAGTGAACACATGAGTATGTGTGTGTATTTAAGCTGATAAAGATAGCTAGTCCTGATAGGACTCAAATTGTCTTTAGATTCTTTGATCCTTTGAAAGTCGGAATCTTTATTTGCTTCCTTGGTGCTCTGACTAGGCTAGAATCCAAGCCTTGACTGAATAATTTTTGCAAAGAGCCTCCCAATTTTGTGTTGCCAGTGACAGTATTTTTAAACTTAGGGGAGCAACCTTTTCCAAAGTGGTTTGTTTTTCTGCATATGCCATGACTAGGTATGGGGTCTGCTTGCAAACCTGAATTTTTTAAACCTTTTCCCTGTGGTAGAGTTTTTTTTCTCTTCTTTGCCATAGTCTTAAGAACTGCTCCGGAGCCTTCTGGTAATTGTCTCATCTTCCTCAAGTCACCTTTTCATGGTGGATGACTGCCCAGCTGAAGTGGAAAAGAGCTTAGTGTGTTTGAGGGAGAAGAAGCAGGCCCCTCACTGGAGCAGAGTGAGCAAGTGTGTGAGGAGAGTAGCGAGTGATGAGGTTGGAAAAGTGGGCAGGGGCCGGATTGTGTGTGAGCCTCAGGAAGGAGTGAATTTTACTGTAAGAACATTGAGAAGTCTTTAAAGTGAGTTAAGCAGGAGAGTGACATAATCTGACCGAAAATTTAAAAAGGTCACAATTGTTAGTGTGTGGAGCATGGACTAGAAAGGTATCAGAGTAAAAGCAAGAGGACCAGTTAGGAAGTTGTTATACCTTATATATACTTTGGACCAAGGTAGGAAAGGAGAGAAGTAGGCAGATTCAAATGACACGAGTTCAAAGGAGCAGGGACTTTTAAAGGAGACATGGGTCTGAAAGTGTTAATGAGGAGCAAGAATATCTACTCTTATCACCTGGCCCAAGCTCCACTAGATGTTGGAGACATAATTGCCTTCCACATGAGAGGGTTTTGGGGAACTTGGAATCTTCTAGGGAGAGCCAGGTATCAGCTAGGAGAAGGAAGTGGAGGGAACCTTCAGAACACATTGAGGTTGAGGACATAGGGGAGTTTGCTCACCACTGAATGGGAGTTCCAGAGGACACAGTGGAAGGGTGCAGGAAGCATAGAGTGGTGGGGGATTGTGTCTGATCAGGTTGTCTACAGGAACAGTTAGGGAATGAGTGCTCTGGTATTAACACGTGACTGGAGAAGCTTGCACTTCTGGTGGCCACTCAGGTCGGCTGTGATGTCAGGCATTGTGGAATTTGTTCTTGTGTGTTCTTAGAGGAATAAGGACATTTGTTTCTGGTGCTACAGTCTTGGGTGGAAGCTCTTTCAGGACAGCAGTTACACATTTCTTGGTACTATCGTATTACCAAGAATTGAATCTTCGTATATTAACTCTTCTGATTTCAAATGTGCATTCAGTGTAGCTGGGATGGCTACTATGTGAATGTGAAGCAGAGTTAGCCTTTGCTTAAATTCATTAACTTCTCACCCCCACTCTACCTCTTGTATTACTATGTTGACAACAAATCATCAGCAGGTACTTCATTCTAAATTTCTTTTGCCTTTCAGTGTATCCAGCCCAGAAGGAAAAGCAGGAGCCTACATACAGGCTTGGGCTGCAGTACTATGTTTTAGATGCTTGCAGAGAAAGAACCTCCCAAGCCCTCTTCTCTAAGTTAGCGTGGCCTTGGGGAGACCTTGCATTACAGAGCTATTAAGAAGATCACTGGACATGCCTGTATAGGGTGATTGATTGCCCATATCAGTCCTTTGTGCTTAGTTTTCTCATTTGCGTCACCAGAAGCTTCCATGTCAAATGAATGCCATAAGTCAGGAAAGAGTTTTATAAAAACCCGAAGATTGTATGTGGCAAGTGAGGTTAAAAACATTTTGAACAGATAACCTCAGTAATATCAAATCTATGCTTTTCCAGCTAGCCTCTTACTCTAGCAGATTGTATTTCAGAAACAGCTGCTTCTGTTTTTAAAGTAATGTATTTCAGATCAATGTTGAGGATGCTATCATTTAAAGCGTGGTTTGAGTCAGCAGAATAACTATAGAGATGACTTTGTGGTCCCAGCTTTATTCTCTCTCTGTAATTTCCATAACTAATATGTTTTGTTTTTGTCAGATTTTTAAAAATGCATTGCCACTATGAACAAAAAGTCCAGCTGTGTCCTTGCATCAGGGCTATAGGAACAACACTGCAGTCCGAATATAGCTACAGACTTGGCTGACCCATGAAGCCGTTTAGAATGCAGGCAGGTTCTCAAGGGCAAGGCAGCACCCCAGTTTGATTGGTAAAAAAAAGCTGAGAAGAAATGACAAAAAAGGGATATGATTGGCCTAGTCATAAGTTGGGGTCTAGGGGAATCAAAGGGACAGTTGGCCCTTAGGAGGTAAATAGTTAATAGCACTAACTAGTGTTTAGTTTTCAAATATCATTTCAGTCTAGAAAAAAAAGGCCTTGACCATATTTGTAAAGAAATTCCACTGTGAATCAGATTCGTAGACCAGAGAGCTGGGAAATCTCTATTATACTAATCACCGTCTTGAAAAACCTCTTTGCCTGACCCTGCAGATTTTCTAACTAACTCTTACTCGGTTTTTATTTCCCCTTACTTTTAAAGCACAAATCCTGGAATGAGTTGTTTATATTGGCAGTCTCTCTTTCCTCACAACTTAACACTTTTGAAACACCTGCGCTGTAGCTTCCATCCCCACCACTGTCAACATTACACTGATACATTCGTTGACTTAAGGAGCAAATCCACTAGTCTTTTTTCAGTCATCATTCTTCTCTCTCTTTCTGGTTTGTTGATCACCAGTATACATTGCCTCTGTCTTTGAAGCCCACCCATCTATTTATTAGCTGCCTCTTCTTTCTCCTTTTGGCTTCTCATGCTTCTCTTAAGGCTACTTCTCTGTCTCCTTTGAGGTTTTTCTTTATATTCAACTCCTTAAATTTGAGTGGTCAAGATTATCTTTGATGCTGTTATTTTTTGTCTACATTATTCTCTAGGAGATTATAAGCTGGCAGTAGATTGTAAATGCCACATAGGCAAGGTCCATTTCTGTCTTGTTTATCATTATGTCCCCAGCATTAAGCACAGCATGTGTATTTTTTTTAATTGAATACATAAAAAAAAATAAATGGAATCTCATTAGTTCTTACGGATTCAGCCATCACTTCTTTGGTGGGGTGACTTCTGAATTTTATCTCCAGCTTTGACTTTCATCTCAAGTTACAGTCATCTCCTCCTCCATGCTCATGAGGCTTTTCTACTTATGATAGCACATGTGACCTCCAAACCGAATATGTAAAATCAGATTCCCTGTTGTTCTCTCACTACAGTTCCACCTGCTGACAAATCCATTAGTGGTTAATGACATCACCATTCTCTTAGTCAAGTTAACAATGTAAGTTATTTTCAGTTTCTCCCTGTTCCCTTGTTTCTCATATGTAACCAATTCCCAAGTCTTAATTCTTTCTAAAAATGTCTGAAGAACCCATCCCTCTCATAATGCTGTTTTCATCCCAGTCTCTTCACGATGTATCTAATAAAATACTAGAATGATCTTTTTCCAGACTGATGTCCTAGATTCCAGTCTTTACTCCCTCCATTCTGTCCTATACCAGGTTCCAGATTTTTTTTCTTAAATAACAGTTTCTCTCTCTGTCTCTCTCTTTCCCCTTCTCCCTCCCTCCTCCCACAGGTATTAATTGCTCACCCACTATGTGTCAGGTACTATGCTCAGCTCTGAGGATAAGCAGTGAACATGACAAATATGGTCTCTGCCCTCATGGAGGTCCCAGGAGTTAGACAGTAATCAAATAGGCTAAGAGAAATAATTATAGCTTATGGTTAGAGCTCTGTGAGTTTGGATTTTATTCTGAGTACAGTGGGGATAAATGGGAAATAGAGGATTTTGGCATGATCTGGTTTACATTTTTTCAGAGATCACCTTGGCTGCTGTGTGGAGAATGGTTTGGGGGAGAGGCAAGATAGGAGATTCAATAAAAGGTGGTAGCAGTAGTCTTGGTGGGAGACTGGTGGCAGTGGGGATGAAGAAAAATGAATGGATTTGAGGTGTGTTTTAGAGTTTGAACCAATAGAATTTGCCAGTATTTTAGATGTGGGGTTAAGATCAAGAATGACTTCCAGGTTTCTTGAGCAGTTGGTAGATGGAGGTGTTATTTACTCAGAGGCTGGAGGAGCAGGGGTTTCTATATTTGATTTTGTTGTTGTTTAAAGAGGGTTTGTAGGAGGAATCATGTCTTCTGCATGCTAAGGTTGAAATGTCTGAGACTTCCAAATATAAAACAAATCATTGGCTGTATAAGTCTGGGGCTCAGACAACAGGCATGGTCTGAAGATATCATCTGGAAACTGTCAGAATAACAACAATGAAACAGTAATGATAAGTAAGAAGTGGATAGTGCTGACTCTGTGCCCAGCACTAAGTGCTTTACATTTAATCCTCTGATAATCTGTGAAGCCAGTACCATAATTACCCCTGTTGTACAGATAAGGTGGCCGAGGCACAGAGTTATATCAGTTGTCCAAGGTGGCTCTCAGATAACTATTTGTTGAACTGAATCAAAACAAATAATACAGATAATATGCAAAGCTATGGAACTGCACATTATCACTCAGGCAAGAGAATAGAGAAAGAGGAGCAGAGAGCCAGGATTGAGCTCACTGCTTTCATCACTTTGTTTTCCAACTCTAAAGTCTTTATTTGCTCCTACTGGAACAAAGGATAACACGTAAACTCCTTAGCCAGATTGTCAGATCTTTACGTAATCTGTGCCCAGCCTCTTTTAGCCTCTCACTGTTCGCTGTGTGATTGCTCCATTCCAGCTAAGTTGTCTCTTGGCTCTCCCCTAGGCATGCTGGCCGCTTCTGTGGTAACCATAAATCCTCTCCAGGCGTCCAGGCCCTACTCAAGCAGTGAAGCCTTTCCTGATGTTTCTGATGCAGAGACGAATAATAATAATAGTTACTGTGTGTCAGGTGCCTTCTGTGAGTTTGAGAAACAGGCAGCAGACTTCTACTTTATTTTGTTTGTCCTTTGGCTCATTTTGTTTTGCTTTTATAAACACCATCTTAGTAAAAAGATGGGAATTTTCTAAGACAACTTCTGAGGGATCAAGCTGACTTAGCAAATCAGTCTAGGTGGGACTGGAAAACTGTTGAATCTTGCTTATATTCTTTCCAGCAAAAAAAATGCCTGTTACCTGAAATCATTCATTTGGAAGTACAGTTTGCTTGGAATGGCCTTTTCTGATTGAGTTGGGGGTGAGATGAAAAATATGATCCTCAAAGATGAAGGAATACAGGATTTAGAGCCAGCCAGATCTAAGTTCAGATCTTAACCCTTCTCCCTGCCAGCCTTTTGGCCTTAGACAAGTACTTTCCCTCCAGCTCCTTTTGCTTATGGTAAAATGGACATTATCACTTTCTTTAAGGAGCCCCTGGGTGGTACAGGCAGTTTAGCACTGGACTACTAGCTGAAACGTTGGCAGTTCGAACCCACTCAGAGGCACCTGGGAAGATAGGCCAAGCGATCTGCTTCTGAAAGGTTATAGCCTTGAAAACTCTATGGAGCAGTTCTACTCTGTACACATGGGGTCATCATGGATCGGAATCAACTCGATGGCAACTAACAACAACAGCATCACTTCCCTTACAGGGTTGTGGTGAGGATTAGCAATAATGTATATATAGTACCTAGCAGCGTGCCTGGCACCTGAGCACACACGATGGTGGATCGTGTCCAAAAAGTGTATCAGGAATGCCTTGGTGTAAGCAAGGAAATTGTTATAAAAAAAGCATGGGAGAAAAAAGCAGCAACTGCAACTCCAGGTCTATTAAAGAGTTAAATCTACAAGAATGTAAACTTTTTTTTTAACTAGAAGGAAAGAAATGCAGTTGTATATTTAACTTTTCTCGGGGTGGGAAAAGACTTTGGAAGCATAAAAACCATGAAGGAGAGCCAAAGAAAGGTCAGTAGTGTTGACTCTAAAAATTTTTGAGCTACTCTGTGTTAAATATCATAAACACAATAAAAAGCAAATGAGAAAAATATTTGCAACAAGTATGATAGACAAAGGGTAGATATCTTACTATTTGTGATCACAGATCAGTAAGAAAAATATTAACATGCCATAGAACAGTGGACAAAGGACATGAACAGAGAGTTCACAACAGAAGAAATGCAAACAGCAAATGGGCATGTGAAAAAATGTCTAACTGGGATAGTAATCAAAGAACTGTAAGTTAGAACAGTGAGTTGCCATTCCATCCCTCAATTTTTTTTTTTTTTCATTATGTTAGTTGATACTGTTCAGTACTGGTGATGTGGCCAGAAGATAGGTACTGCCGTATTTTCCTGATGGAAATATAAATTACTGCAGCCTTCTTATCTTAAAACTATATTTGAAATGTTGCCCAAGATCTACTTGCAGTAGCTTTTTTTTTAATAATAGTGGTAAATTGGTAAAATCTAAATCTCCAACAGTGTGTTCCTAACTGCTGTATCTTTAGCACTAGCACAATGCCTGACACATAGGGGTGGTAAGAAGATATTTGTGAGTTTAAAGAAGGAAGAATATGTTCATACAAAGGAATACTACATAACCGTATTTTTGATATACTGTATACTTAAAGATGTAGAAAAATGCTTACAATATAATGTTAAAAATTCAAAATACATGATTGTATATATATGTGTGTATATGTGTTCTGTACGAACTTCGGATGGAAGGATTAAAGGTGACGTTTTAAAATATTTTCTTGGTCCTTTCCCTCAGTCATTCAGCACATATTTATTGCTATGTGTCATGGCACTGAGTGTATTTCTAAAAATCAAGGTAACATAGTCCTTGCCCTGGGGAGTTGATAAGAGTAGGAAGGCAGCCATTGAACAAGTAATTACAAATACATCATTTACCTTATTGACCTTATATTACTTTTATATTCTAGAAAGAAAAACTATGGTGATGACGATTTTAAAGTTTGTAATTTCTCAGGTACTTTTTTCAGAAAGAGGTGATTACATGAAAAATCTGAATAGATCTCATACAATGTGTGTTCTCTTTCCAGAGAAAAGAAAAATGCTTAGGTTTTCTGTCGGTTGGGTGGTTAGTAATGACATAACAGTAAAGGAAACTGAATAGGGCAGTATCTTGGTGAGCTGAAAGTGAGAGTTGTGGAACTTTGGGAAGCCCCAGGCATTCCTTGGAAAGGCATAATTAAGGATTCAAATGAACTGACTGTAGTTGGGGAGGGAATGAGACTGTCGATCAACATTAATGTAAAAATATATATTTTTTCCTTTCTCTGCCTGCTTGTGAGGTTTCAAGTGTACAGAAAACCAAGACCATCAACAATAAAACACACCCTGTAGATTGAATGTGACGCTAAAGGCTTCTTTTAGCTGGGATCAGAGATGGAAAGTTTTATCCTGAGTCCTGTGTGTGTTTGTTTTTTGTGGGGGGGTTCGTTTTGTTTTGTTTTGAGGGAAGTCCTGAGTAAATCAAAGGGGTTACAGAGATGTGTTTTGGTAAGTTAACCATGCTTAATGGACTGCTGTCCTCTAAACAGCCCTACCTGCTCCTCTACTGTTGCTTATCCATTTATCAACTTGAGACTTTATGCACAGCCACGTGAGCTCCCCTGGCCTTTTATCTGCTTCCTATGTGGAAAAAGTCTCTGTGCATGTTGTTTGAGTTAAAGGGGAGCACTGTGGTCTGTTGCCACTCTGGCCTCATAAGAAGAAAGAAGCATTTGTGAGTTCTGTTGCCATAGTAGGATCCCTTGCCCTCTTTTTAACCCATCCCCATCTGCAAATTAGGAATGCACTCTCTAAGCCAAGGGTGTTGGAAAGAATAAATAATAAGCAGCAAAGGAGTGACATCACCTCTCGCAGTGGGTGCATTGTGTATTGCTGTCTCCTCCGGGGACTGATTAGAATGACTTCCCCTCGAGTGAAGATTCACCCTCTTCTGCTTTTTGGTATGGCTAATGGTTACATTGGGTGCAGTGTGTTCAAAACCAGCATGAGGCTTTCTCTCATTTGAGAAATTCAGATCTTAGGAAAATTAAGTGAAATGTGGGTCGGTTGAACATCACTTTCTATCAGTGCTGATATGTCCCTCTTGTATGTGAAATTTTTTGTGATTCACTCAGCTGTTTCTGCTTGGTTTTTCCAGGAGTCACAGTGCCCACCGCTTTTCTTCCTTAGTTTTAGCCCCCCTCCCCTTCCAATAATGTATTTAATGTACTAAAAGATCTTCCTCTCAGAATTGTCCTCGTGGTGTGGTGAAGTGTTTTTCTTTTACTCTCCTGTCCTAGTGTCTGTGAATTGTAGATTAGGGCCCCATTGCACTCCCTGATTATGTATGTAGAGGGTAGCAGAAGTTCTGCTTCTAGCTACAGGGAACTTTGATCGGACAACTGACTTTCCAGCCTAAATCAAGTAGCCCTGGACCCCTCTAATCTCATGGATGACACACCCCCTTCTGATACCTTTTCTCCAGTAGGACACACGTCTCCTCTGTCTGACATCCTGCTTTCAGGGAGCAACATTTTGCTTTCCTGAGATGGAGCTGGGCCACTGAAGGGTAAGGTCACCTTCCCACTGCTCTCTGGTTGGCTAAAGAGTCAGAGGCAGATGTTATGGTTATTACTACTGAAGAGAAAAGGTGACAGATACAACTAACATCAATCTCTGAAGCCAAAAGTTATTTCAAACATTATTCCTATCTTCTGCCTGTAAACATTATGACTGTGCTTGACAAAGTCTCTGTCAAGGGTTGGGGCCTGGAACTTAGACTGTTTATGCAAGTTCATTATTGTTTTGGTTTTGATCTTCCTGGGGGAAATCATTTGTAAATAGTTAAATTTTCAGAAGCATCTCTACAATAATGAACATAAACACAGCATTGCACTGAAAACCAATCCTGCAGTAACCCTCAGTAACCCCTTGCATGGGAAGTGAAACAGATGAATGGATGGGCCCATGAGTTCTGCCCAGAATGGAGGTGAAGAAATCAGGAAAGCTTGGGTCTGTCCTGGTCTCAACTCTAGCCGTGCTGTGTATTGCTGGGAGCAAGGAAGTTGCTTAATGCACGCCCTTGTCATCTGTGAAGGAGGAGTAACACCACCTGTTGATTGCTTCGCAGGCTGCTGTGTGGATTCAGAACAGTATTGGACATAAACTGACTTTGAGCTCTCTGGAAAAAAGAGGCAGTGTAAATACAAGGCATTATAATCCTAAATTTTCAGGAGTTGTGATCCATCCTCAAAGGCGTCAACAGCCAATCTCAGTTTGACAACACTGTTCTAGTCAAACCAGAACTCCTTTCTTTGAGAAAAATCTTACTGTTGTCTGCTCTGGAAAGAGACAGGAATACATCTCCAAATACCAAAGTAGTCATGGGAAGAGCTGTGACGAGTTTTACCATAGGCACTGATAGGGAATTTTAGCACAAGTTGTGGAAAGGTGAAGCAGAAGTCATTCATGCCATGTCATGTTGAAAAGCCCATTTTCCCACACTGAAGTTGTTAAAAGGCACAGCACAGAATAGGGAAGATGTAAAGAGTTCTTGTATAAATGATGTTTAATTTCTTCATAGGCCAGAATGGGCTTTTCTGCATTTTGGATACTGATAATAATAGCTAGCACCTATATCATGCTTAATATATGCTAGTCTCTGAGTGATTTACACATATCAATTACACATATCAGTATATATTATAGCAACATGGCATATAACCTCAATTGGCTGCCTCACAACAGCGCTGTGTGGCAGGTACTTTCATCATCCCCATTTAACAAGTGCGTAAGTCGAGATACAGAGAGGCAGATTAACTTGCCCAAGGTCAAAGAGCTGCTGAGTGACAAAGCCAGCGTGTATGAACTCCCACAATCTGACTGAGGAGTAGAGGTTTCCATTTCTTTGACCACTGTCAGATTCTGTTGCATCTGGATCATACAAGCAAAAAATTCCATGTAATAAATGCTGTTTTCTAGGAAGAGAATGGAGACTACACATATGTGGAAAGAGTGAAGATACCCTTGGATCATGGGACCTTGTTAATCATGGAAGGAGCTACCCAAGCTGACTGGCAGGTCAGAACATGCAAGTAAAGGGGACTCTTTCTCACTGGAGGCCGTTTCCTGACTGACTTAGGATTATAGTAAACATGCGAAAAGCAAGGCATTTTTATAATGAGCAAGAGGCAATAAGGTCACTTCATTTCCAGGAGTTTTGATACTGCTGACAACCAAAATAGACCTCAGCAGCAGCACTGTCTACTAGAACTTTCTGCAATGATGCAAATATTCTATGTGTGCTGTCCAGTACAGTAAGTCCCATACAGTAGCCACTAGCCACCTGTGATTGAAGTGTGGCTAGTGTGCTGAGGAACTGTATCTTAAATTTTACTTAATTTTAATTAGTTTAAATATTTAAATAGCCTCAAGTGGCTAGTGGCTAGCATATTGGACTTAGGCCAGGCCATTTTTAAGGTACGCATGTTAACATAAGGACAGTTAGCATGAGAGTGGAATCTAATGCCTCCACTTTGGTCTCAGTCATTTATGTGTGTGTGCTTTTTTTTAATGAGATATGGGAAAATGGCAGGAGTCTGAGATGAAGAACAACAATTAGGAAGGATGAAAATATCTGGGACATTGCAGTGGAACAGGGATGGGAATCCATTTCAGAGGAAGAGACCTTTCTCCACAAGACATTAAGAGCTTATCACTGTTCCTTTTAGGGGGCATAAAATCTAAATATATCTGTCCTTATAAATACATTGCAGATTGCTTTGCACTAAAATTGTTTGTGTATTTTTGTCAGAGAGTTATTTCTATGTTTCCATTTAGCATCGAGTTCCCAAAGAGTACCACTCTAGAGAACCGAGAGTAAACCTGACCTTTCGGACGGTTTACCCAGACCCTGGAGGGGCGCGCTGGTAATGTGAGATCCTTGAGAGAGAAGCTACCCTGAGAGCAAGCAAACCTCCTGCCATGAAGGAACTTCGAGGGAGAGGCTGAGCCAGCTGGTCTTGTGGTGTGTTTGGAAGATGGCTGTTTGGAAGATGAGGGTGGGATTTGTTTTCCAGCTGGGAGTCCTATTGAGTGATAGCCAGCAGTTCATGTTCGTAATGTGTTTACTGTGGGAATGGTAATCCCTAATCACGTCTCGGATATCGCATATATTATGTTTAGGCAAATTAAAAACAGCTGTGGTAGTGCTCACGGATGGGTTTGTCCATGCACAGTTTCTCTCCTGCCCTCCCCCTTCATTTGGTGGACTGTGACTCTAGGGAAACCTGCACGTGTTTGTTCCTTGTGACTTCAGTGAAGCAGAGATGTAAATACATGTCAGTGACTGGAGCCTTCCGTAGGCACACAGCTGCTGAGACCCAAACAGAGGTATTTTCACTGAGCTTTGTTGAAGTCTGCTTGGACTCTTTAGCACCTTGACTTGTGTACTATTGTAATGGAAAGCTACATATTCAGGGAACGCTTTATGTTTAACCGAGACTTCTTGCCTGTCAGTCTTCCCGACACACATTCAAACAGGTCGCAGGCCTCCGAATAAAGAATGAAGGCAGTATCCTCCAGTCCAGCATCTTCAAGCAGTCATCTGGATGACTCGTAATACAAGAGAACACTGTTCCCATAAAGGGAGGAATAATTGAGTGATGTCATGGGAAGAAACAGGCTGAAATTGAGGCTGAAGAGCAGCAAATGGCCTGCTAGTGACAGCTGTTCCACATAGATTAGTTTCCCCTAGAGAATTACTTGAGTCATTTGACCCCAAGCCAGATAGGAGTGGGAGCAGTCCTGCAGGGAATAGACTCGGTTACCTAATAGTTTTCTTCTACCTTAGATTTCAGTAGCCTTGTGACTAAGGCTCTCTTCTGACTCAGTGTTCTGTATACAAGTTCCCAAGATACAAGGGTTAGTCCGTGATGTCACCAGGGTTCCCAAAACAGAACAAGAGTGGCTGCCCCTTACTGCATCATAAAAGCATGTGTCTTCTGGACCTTTTGACTTAGGAGCAGTGTGCCAGATTAATTCCCAAACAAGATATGGAAAACCTGAGAGAAAGAAAATGAGTTTAAGTGAATGAAAATAGGGCAAGAGACTTAGAGTTTACCTAGCTGTCTTGGGGAGAATTTACAGAGCTGTCTTGCTTTTCATCCTGTTTCCATTCCGTGCTGTAGAATTGATGATCCCCATGATCATGGTAAAGTGCCAAAGGCGGGGAAAGCTCTCACCCAGAGCTGAGATGTAACGCCGTGCCTGGCCAGTCTCTCTTCTCTGGCAGGCTTTCTGGCTTCTTGCATTGTAGTCATTATTATTAACATAGTAGCATGTATATAGCTCCTTTCTATAAGTACTAAATGCTTTATAAAATCTAAGCATCATCCTAAGCCTTCCTGTGAGGGAAGTACAAATCACCATAAAAACAAACTAAAACCTGTATTTAGTTCCTAGCCGTTCTCCCATTAAAACTAACAAAACCTGGTCAGGATGGTGCAGCCAGCATTGGTTATGAGTTTGATGCATGACATGGGGAATTTCTCTTCTATTCCTACAAATGAAAGAGCTGGCAAGTGGCTCCAAGTCTTACAGCACCCCTCCTAATGCCTAACCTGCAGATTTGATCTCTACGCCCATCATTGCCACGTCTGTCAGGGAGACTGTCTCCTACTGTAGTGCAGACAGGTTGGGCCAGCAGCACCTGAAAGTCTCGAACTGAGAGCACAAAATCTGAGGTTTTGTTTCTTGCTGTCCCCACAGACACCATATGCCAGAGCTGCCATTTTTCCCACCACTAAGATAATGTCCCTTCTGAAATGTCAAGTAGGTACTTGGCACATAGTAAAAACAACAGGGTTTTAGCAGTGGCCAGGAATTCCATACCACCCTGTTGGTATGTTTTACTGGTGGCAGATCTTACTAGGAATTGGAGGTGAAGCCACTGTTGTTAACATTACTTGAAAACCAGAGGAAGCAAATAGTAACGTGAGGAAGAAGAATATGTTTAGTTTTTTTAGCTGCCTGCTTATAGAGCTTCAACAACCTGCCAGGCACTGTCCAAGGTGCTTTTAATACATAATCTCTAATCCTCACCACAGCCCCGCAAGAGACACTCTTCCCATTCTAGGAAACTGAGTCTCGGAGAGGTTCAGTAATTTAGCAGGACTTGTAAGCAGCAGAGACAGAGTTCAAACCGAGTTCTACTCCCTGCATCTGCGTGCTTCTCTGTCTGCCATGGGGGATTTAGGCTGGGTAGTCGGCAGGCATCCCTGGGGTCCTGAGGCTCAGAGCATGCTCCCGCAGCGCTGGCACCCAGCTCACCCTGACACCCTGTTGCCACGGCTGAGCAACAGGATGCCTCATTTGCTGCCTGGCTTTCCTGTGGTCAGGGAAGGCATCTGCTCTCTCCATCAACATTAGCATCTCCTAGTTGGAACTGTGCTACTGGCTGGGCTAATAATTGACCATGGCAGCAGGGAAGTTCATTTTTTGGGACAGAATCCAATTTCTGGTGACTTAGGACAAATTCTCAGCCAACCTTCCTGAGGCAAATGACTCAGAACAGTGTGTTCTGACCACATCCAAGCAGACATACCTGGAAACGTTCAGAGGTAGATGGGTTTTTCCCTCATGGGCTCTTCCTTCCCCCGTTTTTATCTGTTAGTACATTTGGGGACTCTGAATGACACCCAGATTCAGCACTGTGCTTCTTCATGATATTTACCAATGCCAGGATTCTATCCACAGGCTCCAGTCAGCAGAGCCCAAAGAAACAGCCAGGCCGCACACCAACAATGTCTTGACAACATGCAGCTTGCCTCAGAGCATGGGTCAGGAACAATTTGACACTCAGCATCAGTGTAATTTCTATGCAGATTGTATCCCCAGCATTTAAATCAAGGTCCACATTGATCCATCCTTGACTAAATGACTTACTTAGGTGGCATTGACAATTCCTCCTGAGTCTGGGTCACAGCTAATAAACCTGCTGTTTCACTGTGGCACTTGCTGTCTGCTGCCCTAGCATGCCGGCAGGTCTGTCTGGACCTGGCTCAGTAGCTGGCACCATCTCCTGGATTGCACTGTGGCAGCCCCAGAAGAGTGAACCAGGCACTGCACCAAACAGGACGCTCCAGTTGGAGGTTTTCAGAGAATGCCCTGATGAATGAGGGTCCCTGCCCCGCTGGGAATATTTCTTCCTTTGAGTTCTGGCAGCTTTTACTTGGCTGCAGAATATCTAGGACCACTTTGCCTTTTCTGGTCATAAACACTTGTGCTGAATCTGAAGTCTTGGTTATTTTTCTTAACAGTGCCTTTGAAAAAGCAGAATGTTCCCATAGTGATGCATTCTGTTTGTTTAAATCTTCCCTTATACATGGTTCCACCCACATGCTTCTCTTCAAAGGGGCCTAGTCGACAACTACCCCTTCTCTTCCTCCCCATTCTCCTCTTTGGAAGGAACCCCCCGTATGAGACCCCTGTCAAAGTTGTGCAACTGGAATCCACTTGTAGATAGAGTCCTGTATCTGAGGGAAGGGACTTTGATGCTTGTTTGTCAGAGGGGAACACAGACTAATGATGCTTTTAAAAGCTGGTTTGGTGCTGCGCCATAGCATAAAAGCCTTCCCCAGCGGCTCAACAGAGCCCCATGAATGGGCTGGGCTGTTTTTTAGTGTTAAAGCTGGAGTAGGGGTGTCAGAGCCGTGTAGGAAAACAGGATAAATTACGCAGTGCCTTTGTAGCCAGCACTACCAGAAAGATTGTTTTCCCAAATGAGCTAGCTTGGAATTGGCAGAGAGGTATGTGACACCAACGCCATGTTACAATTATTTCTATGCTATTACTGCCCTGATTATAAGGGTGGTGTCACGCGCCCTTCTGCACCCCGGGGACAGTCCCTGTCTTCATGTGGCCTGCACGAGTGTGTGCGTGTCTTCATTGCTTAGGCAGGGCCCTGGCCTCTGACCCCACTGACTAACTCTGGACACAGATTCTCAGTTTCTTGAAAAGGAAGAAAAGGTGAAAAGTTGGGAGGCAGCTTGGAGAGTGTTTACTCTGCTGGGGCTGTCACATCTATAATCTCATTTATTCCTAAAAACAACCCTGAAAGGTCTTGTTTTGTTTTTTTAAACAAATGAGGAAACAAGGCACCCAGGGGACTTAACAGACGCTGAGGTCTTGTCTCCCAGGGTGGGCTGGGACAGCCCTGAGTGGTTAACCTTGCCAGTGGGCATTTAGTGTAGTCTGTAGAACCCCCTCTCCTCCCCTGCAGCCAGTGTCCCCCGGGGCTGGAGAGAGGCTGTGCTTTCTTGGCCCCTTCACAAGGCAGCAGCAGGCAGAGGACTCTTGTCCTTGCCTGGGAGCCTGGGCAGAAGCTCGCCAGGGGGCAGGAAGCAGGAGGAAGTGGTGGGCTGAGGGCTGAGGGCTGAGCGCGGGGCTCCCAAGGGCCATGTGATCAAGTTGCAATTAGCCACCTACTGCAGGAAGAGTGTGGGTGAGCCTGTGACAAGCGCCTGTGGGGTGGCAGCGCCTGTGATTATCCAGATGCCCCAGCGAAACTGCTCACGGGATCTGCACAGCCTCCCAGGCTGGATCGGGCCAAAATGTCCTGCAGCAGTTAATAGCTGAGACCTGAGGCTGCCTTGTCCTCCAAGAGTCTGCAGTAGTTAGGTGCCTCCCCACCACATGCCCCCACTGGCTCTGCACTGCTGACTGAGCTGCTGACTATGAGCCGGCTCCCCCGGGCCTGTCAGGACACCAGCCTCTGCCACCAGCTCATGTTACCTTTACTTGGAGACTGGGGGTGGGACCAAGAAGTGATTCTGTACCCTTGAAGAGTGATTCAAAGAATGTTTTTGTGGGATGGGTGGATGAAGGATGCCATGGGGGGTTCACAAACTTAGGACCAGGGATATTGAGCTGCTGAGACCATCGAGGCAGCACTCAGGAGTCAGGGCAAGTAGGAGAGCCCAACAGAAGTGTCTCCCTTCATGCCCTGGAATGTTTCTTCTGAAAACGTCTGAAGGATCAGCAACTGATTTCTGCCCAGCAGCCACTTTCTCTCTGACCATTAGCCTCACTCCTGTATTCACCTGGCGTGAAAGGGGAGGGAGGGAGACAGCTAGCCTAGAGGTGAAAAACAAGGACTCTGCCCCCTCCATCTGCTCTAGCTGTGCAGCTGCCACATGGAGGAGAGCCAGTGGC